ATTGTAAGACCTGTTAGCACTCAAAGTATGTGTTGAGGAAGACTCTCAGCAACTACAACATCGAACTTTAGCTCAATATTGATAAATTGACTGAGTTCTTAGTCATTTTTGTGTTGCTAAAACCAGTCGGGTGTGGTATCCATTTTGAACTGGGTTGACTCCATAAAAAAAGGCACAGCCAGTGATTTATTTTCCTGAGAGTTTAATCAAAATCCATCCAGAGGTTGATGAGATATTTTCCCTTTTTTTGCCACTTCAGTAGAAAACAAAACTGAATGTTAGTTTCTTAATTTCTGCATCATCAGTGGCTTTTTTTTATAACACTATAGTAAGAAAGAAAAAGAAAAAGTAGAAGAGAAATATAAGAACAGTAAAGAGAGAAACCGATAGAAATCATACATGTGATGAGATATTTTGCTAACAAGCTGAGTGGAACAAAGTTCTATTACATGCTGATTGGCTGTCACAGTACAGTACTGAAATTGTCTTCTCAAAATTTTGCATGAAAAACTGGCGTGTGTGGGTGTTTTTTTTTTATAAAGCTTCTCTGTGTCACAAAAACTGAAGATGTTTTCTTCTTTTCCTTCTCTCCTTGTCCTTCCTCCTTTATCCCACCTAAAGGCGTGGCGGACTCTCGGGGTGGGGTTCTGTAATGGTAACCATGATCCCCGGCAGCCACTATGTCTGCAGCGCTCATGCAAGAGAGGATGACTCCACTAACGACCGCGAGGAGCGGATTTTAGCCGTGCTGGGCATCATTGGAACCATCCTGAATCTTTTGGTGGTTATATTTGTCTACATCTACACCTCCGTCACTTAAGTTTTCTCTACAAGACTTGAAGAAGAAACAATGGGACACATGTTCCCTCCCACTGCCAACTTTCTCTAATAAGTATTTAAGTATTTCAAAGCATTGATTTTTCACAGCAGCACTCAGTAGAACGGATCATTTTTACAGTGTATATTCAACTGGATAGTGGCCACATTTTTCACAACATCTGCAAATTTAATTTAAAAGAGGAAGTAGAATCACTCAGACTTTTTTGGCACTGTTTGTATTAAACTTCATCTTTGCATTTTTACACATTTCCTTGTCTTAAATGCCTGCCAATAGCAACAGCTATATATTTCTTACAATATGTCTTTTTAACTGGAAAATGCTGTTGTGACTCTGCAGGCAGCTGAAGAGGAATTATTTTGTGTTTGGTCTGATAGTGGTCATGTTCTGACTGGGCTGCATCATTCACTGTGTTTTATGTCTCTGTGAAAGTTTGCTACATTTAAAATAATCTCACTGCCAACTAAAATTGCAACGTGAATTTCTAAAAAAAAAAAAAAAAGTAGAAGTCCAAATTAACAGATATTTGAGTAACAGTACATCAGGGCAAAGAACAAGTTTATCAGTTTTGGAGTTCATGTAATATTTTGTTTTTTTTAAAAAAAAGCTTCATGGAGCTGATGTGCCCAAACCTGAGAGCACCTGAGGAGAGATTCCTGGCTGTACTCGGAGTTCTCGGCATCATGCTCAACCTGCTGCTGCTGGTCTTCGTCTACATATACACCTCCACCTGACGAAGCATTGCATTTATCGCTCTAAATTTGTAGGTAAAAAGATAACCAAACACACTCGTACCTAACAACCAGACGCCCTGTTTAGCACATCATATAACACAGATCTTTGTCACATATATACACACTGAAACTTGGAATTTAGTCCCCAGTTAATATAAGGATTACACTGTAAAAACTGCGGGGTTAGGTCCTGTCCCTGATAGTGTAAAATATGTTGAATAACCCAAAAAAAAAATCAACAAAAATAAACTGATGGTAATATAAATAGTTTAAATAATAGATATAAGGAAGACTTGTTTAGTGCACATGGTTAGTATTTTTATAATTCATAAAATGTTTACCTACGTTTGTATTGCATCAATGAAGTGTTGTGTTCCCAGTACCAGTATACGCTAGTTTAATGTGTTCTCTGTTAAAAAGCAGAGGAACATGGAACAGGAAACGTTGCACAGCAACGACCCATCTGCACATTCCTGGTGCCAGAGAGTAATTGTGTATTTTCTGGTGACACGTCTGTCTGATTGGAGGTGGGAGCCAGAAACAGAGGAAAGACAGAGACGGTGTCACATGAGTCCAGACAGTGGACTTCCGTTGTGTAGCTCAAACTGCCGGGACAAAGACAACGATGATGAGCAATGTGCGACGTCTGAAAACCGAGGACAGTTGCTAAGATGCTGCAGCATCTGTCTGAGAACTACGGGGGGCACAAATGGTTCTAATCTGTTCRTCAGAGCTGTCTTTCAGTGCGTTTCTGATGGAGGAGTGGACCTGAACACAGCTGAGAGCCCATCAGGAAGGACTGGGTCGAATCTACACTTTTTCCTTCTCATTCTCTTCTCCAACAACAAACTAACACCAGAGAAGACATAGGGGTGTTTGAGCCTCCTTTTATTTTTTATGTTTTGTATTTTAACCTGCTGGCTTGTGTGGAAAAGTCCTGACAATTTGAGAATTGTTGCATTTAAGTTCGTTTTCCACTGGATGCATACGCACTTCAGGTACCAGTCTTTGGAATGTTTTAGTTGGTTTGCAGGCAAACAGAAAAGCTAAAATCAACCTCTTTGGTAATTCTTTGGGATCAGACTGAACAATCATGGATATGTTTTGGCCCACTGTATAAAACCGGACTAAATATTATGACCCCCACACACACGAAGCGTAAGCGAGGGTCCTATTGTTTTCGTACTGTTTTATTTTTTTCAGTGATTTTTGGTCAACCGTAGCACAAAAACAGCTGCACCGATCAACATGAAATTTGGCAGGACTGTAGATGAGTCCGGCCTACACTGTGCCAGCCAACGGTTTTACGATACACCCYATATTTGAGGAGGGGGCTCCATCCAAAGAGGGGGAGTCTGGACATGCAAAAATGCGTATAACTTAGAAACTGTTCAACACAGAAGCTTCAGATTTATTTTGTTGTTTAGCTCTGATGAAGCTCCATCCATCAGGCCCACCAATCAGTGCCCCCCCCCCCCACCCCCCTGCCCGGACCCCCAATTTATCTGAAAAAGGGGTATCTGGACATACAAAAATGGTTATAGCTCAAGAACTATTAAACATAGGAGCGTCAGATTTTTGTTGGATGTTTGGCTCTGATGAAGCTCTATCCGTCAGGTCAACCAACACCCCCCACCCAAAAAAAAAGACCCCCACCCAAACCACTACAATTTCGGGATGCATCTAGTAGCATGACATTTATTAGGAATAAAGACTTCTGAGTTCTGGTGCATTTGTATGTGCGGGGGTCATTATGTTACCGCTATGCGTGTCTAGTTTTCTTTCTTTTTCGAAAGTGTCAAACTTATGCAGAACTTCAAACTGAAACTTGTCTTTACAAATTTAAATGCTAAAATAATTGTTCAATTCAAATTCACCTTGCAAATAATGATAGATTTTATCTGTAAATTCGATAAAACATCAGTAAAGAAACTAAAGGCCTGGCAACCATTGAAGAGCTACATATTTGCTCTCAACATACATCATCAAGATGTTGCATAATCAGTCAACACTCAGTGTTTGGGACAACTTTTATCTACCACCACATCAAGTTTTAGCTCAATAATTGTACCTGCATTATCGCCATTTTTATATTTGCGGAGGTTGGTTCGATGAAGCGGTCATCTTAAATCATGTTGAAAGAATCTGAGAGCTTCTCTTTAATCTGTTCAGTGGAGATACAGTATGAGATACAGAAAAATAAAATCAGACTCAGACGTTTAGAAGCATCTACCAAAGTATAATGAAGGGGTAAGACCACTCAGTTTTTACTGAATAGATGTGGGCAAGCACATAACCTCATTAATAACCCAGTAGCAAAAATGTGTGCAAACCAAATAAATTCAATTCAATGAGCTGGCATACTAAACCCAAAAATATGTATATAATAAATAAAATTAAATATCGTCATGAAGAGCCCAAAAAAGTTGAGCAATAAGTCTTGATGGGAGGATGGTTGAATGATAAGAAGAGGCAGGAAAAATATTTAAAAACTAAAAAAATGCATGGATAAAAGTCTACAGTTTGGTCTCTTTTATCACATCGACTCAGTGCTGCTTCTGAGCTGAAACCAAATGCAGTTCATGTTTCCACTCGGGACCACTTCTAATGTTCTTTGGACCAATGAGAGGACAGAAACCAGAGGGTGAATTCTGACCATCTGCTGTCCAAACAGACAGTCTTCACACACATAAACAGCACAGGCTCTCTTCATTTGAACAACACAACTCCAGCTCTCACCCTGCTTTGAATGGAAAAGATTTCTCATCGCCGTTTGACTAAAGACACTCAGAAGAAGCAGAGCAGGCCTGCAAGGCGACCCTGAAGGATGCTGGGATCTGGCAAAAATAAGTGCCTGTAAGAAAAGAAAGAAAGAGCAGCATGGAAAAAAAGCTTCCTTCTTTCGTTTAGCCATGATAAATGTATTTTACTATATTTTCTGCATTTATTGAAACATACCTGAAGATGACATGAAAAGTCCTGACATGCATGAGAAATTTTATTTGCAGCACACTTCGCTTACAAATGACATGTAATGATTTCATTTAAAAAAAAGAAATGGACCTGATGTGGAATGGAGGGAAATAATTCAGTTACCAAAGTTTTATATAAAATGTTGATTTAACACAGGAGCTTCTGCTGCTCAATTGAAATGACTGTTTCAGTTTGATTTTACTAATATTTGACAAAAGTTACATCGTCAAAAAAAAGATTTTGTGCTAGAAATAAAAATAAACACTGGTTTTGGATGATGCTTGTAAAAATGTTTGATTTAACTGTTAAAAAAACTGAAAATATCTTTTGAAATCTGGTGTATTTTCCTAAAATGAGTAAATG